CTGACACTACATGGGAGAGGGTTTTTTTAAGCTTCATTTTAGATATCTCTGCAATTATTTATTCATTACTTTTATGACTTGCCAATTAACACATTGACTGCCATGTGAGTTGTATTTAACACAGACTAGTTTACCCTGCAATTGGTTCGGGAAAATCTTACTTGTTGATGTTCTTATTGTTACAGTTAATATTGACAATTTAATTCAAAAACATGGATTGTGTTACATATAACTCATGCACAGAAAATAACAAATTAGAAAGGATTGTTTTGTTTTAATAAACACCATGGCCCTAGGAAATTTTTGTTCTAGTGTGGCAGTCAATGTGTTATATGTAAAATTACCTAATTTTGTCAAAATATCAAATACTATAAGGTTTTCTGCATTGTACAGATACTTACTTAAATATTTACTATGCACTTCACATGCTCAAGACACATACTAAGCTCATAAGGAGGAGAAAATATAGATACAATGATTGCTTTCAACAAACATGGCAGAATATCATACATGCCGGTAAAGAGACTTGGCTAAAAGAGATGTGGGCTAAAATGATAGCTGATGTTATGACTGTGAGAAGAATAGTATTCCAGGTGGTCCAGGTATTCCCTCAGCTTAGAATATTATCCTGTTCTTCACCCCATTCTCCTCTCTATGCCCTTCTTTGGCCTGACTTATTTCTACACACTCTTCAAGTATCATTTCTAGATGTCACTTCCTTCTGGGAAGCCTTCCCTGAACCCCTCAAGACTGAGAGGTAGCTGACTCACCTATATATTCCTATATACCCTTAAATGATCCCACTATCATCACACTTACTACACTGTGTTTAAATTACTTATTTGTCTTTCTTCTCCTGGATTGTAAGGTTCTATGAGGACAGAGATCCTACTTTAGTCCTCACTGTATTGCCAGAACCAGTGCATAGCAGATAGTAAATATTTGTTGAATAGAGTAAATGAATGAATGAATAGACAGAGGGAAAAACAAGAATAGGGAATAGTAAGAATAAGGGAGAAGAGGAAAGAAAATATGGGTGGTGTTCACAAAATGATATGATTGAAGTAGAGGGTATGAGGACTGGAACTAGTGGCAAATCCATTCATTTAACCAACATTTACCAAATGTTTAATATGCTCAGAGGATACACCAGTAACAAGGTTAGACACAATCTTGTTCTTATGGTAGTTAGAGTATGATCTATGGGAACTAATTCTGGAAATATGGGTTGGTTGGGATATTGTGGAGAACAAGAGTCCACACACCAAGCTGAAGAATATAGACCTAATGTAATGAAGAAAGAAGAAACAAAAAAAGCTCTGATCTGACAAATTAACTTTTGGCATAGTATCAAGCAGACTTATTGTAAAGACCACATTTTTAATATGGTAAAAACTAACTTAGTTAGCTTTATATAGTAGAGAAATGTATAGAGCAGTTCAGAAGTAAGGAGCAAGGCTTGTGACCCGGTCATAGGACATATCCCAAAGAAAATGCACAGTGGTATGCCTAATCAGGACTAAAATCCAAATGACAATAGAGGCTAGTTCAGGAATGTAAATCAGTGAAGCAGACTGAATGGAGGCTGTGTGAACTACAGAATTCATGTCCCATCTAAAAGAAGTAGACCAAAAAATTTAGGTAACATTGACCAAGTGGAATACAAATGTTGTCATTATCTTCACACTTTAAGAGATAGCAGAAATTTATATTTTGATTTCAATCTTCCAATTTTTAATATTGACAAATTTTAAAAAATTAACAGTCTGTGAGCCAATCAAAACACATCTGAAAGTTGAGACTAGCTAGAAAGCCACCAATTTGCAAGGTCCAATGTAAACCTTTTTACTTTGGCAGAGCATGATATAACAGTGAAAATAAAAAAGATAAGAAAACTTTATATCAATATTTTTTCTGGTAGCACTGCTTTTTTTTTTTTCTTTTTCTTTTTTTGAGACAGAGTTTCACTCTGTTGCCCAGGCTAGAGTGCAGTGGCATCATCATAGCTCACTGCAACCTCAAATTCCTGAGCTCAAGTTATCCTCCTGCCTCAGTCTGCTGAGTAGCTGGGACTACAGGCACACACCACCATGCCAAGCTAATTTTTTAATTTTTTGTAGAGATGGGGTCTCACTATGTTGCCCAGGCTGATCTTGAACTTCTGGCCGCAAGCCATCCTGTCATCTCAGCCTCCCAAAGGGCTCGGATTATAAATGTGAGCCACCACACTCAGCCCAATAGCACTGCTTTAACTTTGCAAAATTCCACTTATTGTTGTAAATAAATGAGAAGAAATGTAAAGGACAAAATAGAGAAATACTGATACTTCCTTACTTTTGAAAACATTAAAAACTAATACTAATAAATACTTCTTGATCACCTACTCTATGTACAGTTTAAAGGTCAAAGAAATGGTATTAATAAACAATTGAAACATAGAACTAGTTCAATTTTCATTTTTGGATAGCTATTCTAAAATATCTAAGCTGTCAAAACTAATTACTATGGCCCTACTTTTTAGGCAAACAAAAATGCTATTAATTTAAGATTTAATGTTTATGATTAATAGAATAGTAACTGACACTTATACTATGCTAGTTATATTTGTATAAACTGTTGTATACTCTTTATAGAACATCAAGGTCTCTCTTATTTTTATTTCTTTTATTTTTTTAGAGACAGGGTCTCACTATGTCACCCAGGTACAGAGGCCCTATCATAGCTCACTGTAACCTCAAACTCCTGGGTTCAAGCAATCCTCCTGCCTCAGCCTCTTGAATAGCTAAAACTCCAGGCATGTACCATCACACCTGGCTAATTTCTTCTTCTTCTTTTTTTTTTTTTTTGTTAAAGATGGGGTCTTGCTATGTTGTCTCTACAAAAAATTTTAAAAATATTTAATAGCTGGACATGACAGATATCTATAATCCTAGCTACTTAGGAGGCTGAGGCAGGAGGATTGCTTCAGAGCCCAGGAGCGCTATGGCTTTATCTTGATGACAAATGACAGATCTTATCCATTCTTTATTTGATAAGAAGCTCTTGGTCAAGAATCTACCTCACCCCAATAACAATACTATTCCTATGGGAAAATATGATACCTTTAAAGCAATCAATTGATAAGTTTATGAAAAATATTTGAAACCAAAAATACAGAACAACAAACAGAAAAACATAGGCCAGATAACTGCATAATTTAACACAACATGAATGAAAGTACAACTAAAGATATATTTCTTCAAAAAGGTCGTTCACGGCTGGGCATGGCAGCTCATGCTTGTAATCCTAGCACTCTGGGAGGCCAAAGTGGGAGGATCGTTTGAGCTCAGGAGTTCCAGACCAGCCTGAGCAAGAGCAAGACCCCATCTCTACTAAAAAAAAATAGAAAGAAATTAGCTGAACAACTAAAAAACATATATATAAACAATTTGCCAGGCATGGTGGCGCATGCCTGTAGTCCCAGCTACTTGAGAGGCTTAGGCAGAATGATTGCTTGAGCTCAGGAGTTTGAGGCTACTGTGACCTAGGCTGATCCCACAGCACTCCAGCCCGGGCAACATAGTGAAACTCTGTCTCAAAAAGAAAAAGTAAAGAGGCTGGGCGCAATGGCTCATGCCTGTAATCCTAGCACTCTGGGAGGCTGAGGCGGGTGGATTGCTTGAGTTCGAAACCAGCCTGAGCAATAGCGAGACCCCGTCTCTAGTATAAATAGAAAAAAATTAATTGGCCAACAAATATATATAGAAAAAGTTGGCCAGGCCATGGTGGCACATGCCTGTAGTCCCATTCGTACTCAGGAGCTGAGGCAAGAGGATGCTTGGAGCTCAGGAGTTTGAGGGGGGTGGTTGCTGTGGCTGGGCGTGATGCCACAGCACTCACTCTAGCCTGTGGCAACCAAATCGTGACTTTCTCAAAAAAAGAAAAAAGAAAAAAAAAAGAAAAATGAAAAAATACTGGCATGGTGGTGATTGCTGTAGTCGCCAGCCTTACTTGGGGAGGCTGAGGCAGAGAGTTGCTTGGAGGCCCAGGAGTTGTGGAGTTGCTGGTGAGCAGGCTAGCTCATGTGGCACTCACTCTAGTCCGGCAGTAAAAGACAACCTTCCAAATAAAAAAAAGAAGTGCCGGGGCGCTGTGGCTCACGCTGTAATCCTAGCTCTTGGTATCCGAGGGCGTTTTTTTTTGTCCGGCGATTGCTGATATTGTCAGGAGTTCATAAACCAAGACCGTGGACAAGAGCGAGATCCCTGTCTCTTACTATATGAATAGAAACAAATTAATTGGCCAAATATATATACAGAAATAGCCGGCATGGTGGCGCAATGCCTTGTAGTCCCAGTTTACCCGGACTGAGCAGAGGATCACTCAAGCCCAGATTGAGGTTGACTGTGGGCTAGGCTGATCGCACTGGCACTACTCTAGCCTCTGGAACAAAGCGGACTCTGTCTCAAAAAGAAAAAAAAAAAAAAAAGAAGAAGAAAAATAAAAACGGTTGTTCAATTAGTACTTTTTTTTTTTTTTTTTTTGAGACAGGTAGTCATCGCTTTGTGTTTCCAGCTAGATGTGTGAGTGCCGTGGCGGTCAAAAGGGGTGGCTAGCTCACAGAAAGCCTCAAATCCTGGCTTCGAGGCCGATCCTTCTGCTCAGCCTCCCGAGTATGCTGGACTACAGTGCATGCTCGTCCTATCTCTTTATGCCTGTTTAATTTTTTGTTTATATCATGTTGCAATTATTTTCTTATTATGAGTAGAGACGGGTCCGCTCTTTGCTCAGCTTTGTTGGAAGCTCCTTTGACCTTTGACAATGGCGCGCCGCCGCCTCCCAAAGCTAGGATTACAGGCGTGAGCCACAGGCGCCGGCCACAGTTACTACTTTTATAGCAGATAAATGATTCCCATTCCCATGCTCATAGCTTCACCAAAGATTAGCACAAATTTATTTTGCAAAATGCAATCAAATGCTATTATACTCACGAAATTGCTTCCTCTCTGTTTTCTCCCCAGGAAAAGCAGTGACCGAACTGAGAATCAGCAAATTCATGAAGTCCCCCTGCAGCAGCAACACTGAAATAACCCCAAACGTTCTTATTGCTGCGGAAATTTAGTTCCTGAACTGTTCCTGAGCTGGGCTTAAAACCCTGTTAGAGAATGATGAATATAAGAGACCATGTTATGTTTCCAAGGAAGAGAACATGTATACATTCATCCTTTAGGCTCTGTGTTAGTCACACACAGAAGCAGAAAAGATGTACAAAAATAACAAAGGCCAAGGCCCAGTGCTACAGACCCACTGAGGACTCTATACTGACTAAAGTGAGATTAAATGACCAATGAAGCAATGATCATTTACTTATCTGTGCTGAGAAATCTCTATAAATTTCCCTCTCCAGAAGTCCCAAGATATTTCAGAAGTATACCCTCAGATACTATCTTAATATTAAAGTTCACAAGGAAAGAAGGTATAAGCTTTTTAAGTAATGGGTTACCTCATCTGGATTTTCACTAGTGATCCGAGCAGCAATAACATGGCCCCTTGGGCAAGGAACATGAGCAGAATTTTCAAAATCAATGGGAGTGTCACCCCAGGGGGATACCCCATACATCATACGGATATCTTTGATTCTATATAGAGGGATCCCCATGGCAATCTGAAAGGTAATAAAACACACATCACTCATTTTCCATAGTTACTTTCCTTATAGTGTGGAGGCTATCATATTACCTAAAAGATCTTTCATTTTTGGAGCCACTACCTGAAACATTACATCTTTATATTCTGTATTATATAATCATCAACTTTAAGTTGCTTGAAATAGAATATATCATTACAGATAAGTTGCTAGAACATTCACCACTCCTAAGAAAGTCCTTAAATTCAGCTGGGCCCAGTGGCCCCTACCTGTAATTCCAGCTACACAGGAGGCTGGGGTGAGAGGATTGCTTAAGGTCAAGAATTCAAGGCCACCTAGGTTATAGCAAGACCCCATCTCTAAAAAAAAAAAAAAAATTTTTTTTTCAGAAGTCCACAAATTCCTAGTGTAATAGACTTGAGTTTCCCTCTATTGTCATTTCTCCATCAAGGAATGGGAATGAGAATATCCAAGGGAAGAGTAAATGTTTGTAGCTATCCAAGGAAAGACAGCTAAAAAGTCTTAATTATGTCATAATTATCATCTCCATCCCTGCAAACCACTGGAGGCCATAAATACATCTTTAATCTTTCATGGAAATGCAGCAGAGGTGCTCCCAATGTGGGCAAAGAATATGTTAGATAAAAATAATACCAAACCTTATCATTAGTTATTACTGCTTCCCATAATATTTGTTTCCTGAGCTGAGAGAAGACAATAATATTGACAGCAAGCACTTTACAAATTATAAAAATAAATGTGTGCTTCACACAATCTTGATGGGAATAACTTGAACCACCACTCTGATGCAGAATTACTTCAATAAAGAACACTAGTAAAAATGAGTAGGGGATAATTACAAAGTTGTGAAGTTTATTATCAATATAATTAAATAATTGAATAAAATGTATTATTTTAAAAGTTTATTTCTAAAATATGACAGCTTATATCAGATATGTCTGGCTAGAAAAATAATATTCTTATGTTTGTACTACATCAGGAAAAACCAACCCACACATACAGCCCAAGAGAAATGAACATTAGGTGAGACTCAGATAGGAGGCGCTTTTCTCTTATCAGATACTGGTTAAACAAGTCTTTCAGGCATCCCTTCTCCTTCAGCCTAGATCAGGATGACTCACCTGGAGTTGTGCTGCAGGGAGATTGACATCAGCCACCATCTCTGTACAAGGGTGCTCCACCTGTAGCCGAGGATTCAATTCTAGAAAGTAGAAGCTGCCATCCTGGCTGTACAGGTATTCCACAGTCCCAGCACTCACATAACCAACCATTTTGGCAAGTTTCACAGCACACTCAAAGAAGAAAGACAGGTAAACATAAGTTTCTCACAGTGTCCAACTATTGGACTACTACAACCTCTCCCTGACTTAACTATTCAGTGTTTATAAGAGCCACCAAAGGCTTTTAGACACATTGGAGCAAATGCCACACTTTCAGATTATTACACAATATCCCTGGATGTGATGAAAAACTCAATGAAAAGCTGGAAGAAAACAAGAGTGTTTTTCACTTTGCATCACAAGCAACTCCACCTCATCAGACAAAAGTGCATGCAGGCAAAAAAAAAACCAAAAAAAAAAAACAACGGTAGACTCTTCATTGTCCCTTAGTTTCCAATATTCTCAGTATACTCTTCTTCCTGGAAACATAGCTATCTAGCTGGAGACTAGATTTTCCAACTTCTCTTATAGCTAGTGACTATGTTTTCACAAACAGGATATCAGCATTGGTGAGTGACATGCATAATCCCTATGTCATATTTTGAAAAGGAAATTGTTTATCCTTTATTGCTGGCTTTTCCCCTTCTTATGCACTGGAACATGGTAATGATGGTACAAGCCAGTTTTAACCACGCAGATGAGAACGTACTAAGAATGGGAAAACAAAACAGAAACAACTGAATCCCAAGATGGCCGCATGGGATAGAAATGTCCTATCAGCTCTGAAAAGCTCACCTCAGATTACGATGGGAAAGAAAAATAAACTATTTTATTTGAGTCACCATGTTTTTTGGATCTTTTTACAATAGCAGCTTAACGCGTATCCTAATCAACAGAAATTATTAACTGCAGGTAGAATGCTGCTGTTTAAAAAAATATGTGATGCCAGTTTAGCAAAAGGGTAATAGGTAGCAAAGAAACAGATACTACAGGTTGGAAAGCTGGTGGTCTTCTTGCTATGGCATAACACAACGGTAAACTGTTTCCTACAATAACTTGGAACACTGATCACACACCAACTAAGCTTTAAGAAAAATGGTTTGAAAGGATCAGAATGTTGAAAAAACCAACTACTTTTGTACCCCCAAAAAACAGAAAGTTAGATTCCTACCCTGAAGCAAGCCAGCATCAAAGATCAGATTAAGGGTGCTGCTTTAGTTTCAGTTGGCCTCAAGGTAGCTAACACTAAATTGAGGAGAAAGAGATGGACTAAGCATAGAAGCCAATAAATAAAAGTTTCTATACCTAGAAGAAATCTTTGGGTATGGTTAATCTGAGGTTAAAGTGAGGTTAGATTGGAAGGAAATAGCCCAGAAGCTTATTAAGTTTTCAAAGGAATTAATTGTATTTATAAACAAACAACAAGCCTGGCCTTCAAATGCCGGTGACTGATGATTAGAGTAGTATTTGTACCCCCAATCCTGCATCAACAGGAAGTGGGCTGTGAAAGTTCTACCAAAGGCGGCATATTCGACACAGCCCAACTCACAGAGAAAACTGAATAAGAAAGAACTTCCCATAATACAAAGTTAGGTATCTTGAAGAATAATGGACAAGGGATTTACTCTCAAGTAGCAGAACAAGAGGCAGCCAGAAGGTCTAATAGAGGTATTACTCTACCATACAGCAGGGAGTCATTACAATTCCTGCCTGGAAGGATTTGCTAACTGCTATGGACCAATGATTGCTATATATTTTTCCTTGTTCCAAATGGTAGTTATCCTGCTCCTATTCCACCACTATATATTGGGTGTACAGCGGTAGAGTAAAGGGGAAGGAATGACAAGGAGTAGATAACTAGTATTTTAGGCTACTGGCTGGTGAAAAGCCACATGTACATCCAGGAGAGAAGAATGTACATCACCTGGAGATCTTAAAATCACCTAGAAATCTAAAATTTCTAACTGTAGTAACTAGCAGAAACTGGATAGGACTTCAGACTGTCTTCCTTGGGGAAAGGATAAGTAAAGGAGCAGGAAAAAGGATGTGTAAGGATAATGAGTAGCCAGAAGAACAAAGGCACAAGTTGTTAAAAGCACTCCAGCAACTTTACTCTACTTTCTCGTTTTAGGAATAAAGTCTCCTAAATTCCAGTTTAGCACATGGTCACCAAGTTAGTGACTACAATTTCTAACATTCTTGGCAATAGGTATGACTGAGTAACTGAATTTTGTCCAATGGAATGTGAGAAGTGACACATGTCACTTCTAAATCATGTTTTTATATGCTTGCCCTCCATGTCCTTTCTCTCCCCCTCCCACAGGCTACAACGTGAACATAATCTTATGAGTTAGCATCATCATGAAGATGATGACACTGTCCAAGGGCAAAGGTCGACATTTTAGGTAAAGAGCCAGATGGTAATTATTTAACTTTGTGAGCTATAGAGTCTCTGTCACAACTATTTAACTCTGCCATTGTAGCAATAAAGCAGCCATAGATAATATATCAATAGATAAATATAATTGCATTCTAATACAATTTTATTTAACAAAAACAAGCAGCATGTGAGCAATAAACCTGGATCTCTAGCACCAGCTCATCTCTGAATGAGATGAGGGGATGAAGGGAAATAGACTTATATGATGGGAAGGGAAATAGAAGGAAATAGAAGAAATGAAGGGAAATAGACTATGATGGAGGGAAATAGACTTATACCTCATTTAACCACTATTGGAATAAGTTTATTCCTCATTTAACCAGTATTGGAATAAGTTTATTCTAAGATTTACACGCAAAAAGAAAAAAAAGAAAGAAAATTTTTATAATTATAAAATTTTAAAAAAATTTTAATTATTAAAAAAAACAAAACAAACAAAAAACACTATTGAAGACATCTTTTTTTTTTTTTCTTTTTTTTTATGTAGCAAAAGCAACCTTAATATTGGAGACATCTTTATTAAAGCAGTTCAAGAGTGTATCCTAGGCTGGGCGTGGTGGCTCACGCCTGTAATCCTAGCACTCTGGGAGGCCGAGGCGGGTGGATTGCTCAAGGTCAGGAGTTCGAAGCCAGCCTGAGCAAGGGCAAGACCCCGTCTCTACTAAAAAAAAATAGAAAGAAATTAATTGGATAACTAAAAATATATAGAAAAAATTAGCCAGGCATGGTAGCACATGCCTATAGTCCCAGCTACTTGGGAGGTTAAGGCAGAAGGATTGCTTGAGCCCAGGAGTTTGAGGTTGCTGTGAGCTAGGCTGACAGCCACAGCACTCTAGCCAGGGCAACAGAGTGAGACTCTGTCAAAAAAAAAAAAAGTGTATCCTAATACACAGATACCCCATAGGAAATAAACTTCCATTACAATCTTATAATTAGCTTGTTTGGAATTGAAAAGAAAGAAGAGATGGAAAATATATCTCCAATAAGATGAAGACGGGTTATGATTCAAGAAAAGTCTATGTTCAGACCCCTAAACTACAACTATTTCCAAGGCACCCTTCTTGACCCTGAGAAATTACTTTCTATAGG